CCCCGGGGGGCGCTAATCCCGGGGGAAGCTGAGCTCAATTCGTAAGCCACATTTGGCTCCTAAGTGAGCTATTTATGGCTCGTGAGCCACAGGTTGCTGACCCCTAGCCTAGATGATACCAACAGTCGCTTCTGGCTTTACAGTGCATTAAATCTGTATCAGGGGTTTAGCAGATTTTGTGTACGCATAATCCACACTGATTTCTAGAAAAACCTTTCAGAGACATGCCAGTTAGGCTGCAGGACTGACAGTCTACAATGAATCCACTATATACTGACCCTGAGGCTGCTTTATTTGTCTTCTAAAAAGTTGTTACAAAATGTCAAGTTGTATGCTGTTTTCCCCAGGGAAGAATCTTTCCAGCAGCTAAAACAAAAATCTATTCAACTTGATTAAAGAAGTTTTCTGGGGGATTGTTTTTAGCTCTAGACTGGTCAGATTTACAGTGATGTTTACAGTTACTTTGGCCAATGTTTCTTGAGATGTTCTTTTAACTGTGGGATGGTAGGTAGGTGCTGCTTGCACATGTGACATCTGAGGGGCAACTTGAGGAGCTCACAGGTCCCATCTTTAACCAGAACTTTTCCTTTGGTCTTTACCATCTCTATCACATCTGAAAGAAACACAAACAGTTGGCATCAGAAGACAGAGTGCTCTCCGCACTCTGAAGTCAGTGCATGCTGCTTTACCTATACAGTATTTTACCCTTGCACAACAGGATTGTTCTATCCCAACACTCCAATTCTCTCTCCACATCTCCCCCCTGGAAATAGATGAGTCTATCCCAATCAAAAGCTATGCTTATTTTTATCAGAAAACCAATATTGCCCAAAATCCAATCCTAAGTGGGATCTTCCACTTTTTCTAACACAGTTAAGAATTTACCTTTGAAAATATACTAAAACGATACAAATTCAATGTCTGCAGCAAATGTTATAAAGTTTTTTACCTTGAGAGTTTAAGAAGTACTCGGTGGTAAAAGAATTCCAGTGTTTTTTGTTTTTAAGGCAAGGGGAATCAAAATCCTGGCTGATTACATGGAGATGTACCTGACTGGAACCAAAACAAAGTAATCTTGATTTTACATTTACAAAAGAATTACACAAACAATAGCTGGGTAAGAAGATGACAGGAATCCAGCCTTTCCTTACCAAGTGCTGTGGCAGGAATTCATACCTGCCCTGACCAGACCCAACTCTCCTTAACATATTAATTAGGGAAGCAAGTTACACGTGGTGCTCAAACAGCTGTAAATGGTGACCTTGCATAACTCACGGGAGTTAACTTAGCCACTGACAGAAATGGGAATAGCAAGACGGAAGAAGTGAAGTCTAGAATTACTTCTAGTTCAACTCGATGAATTCCACACTCTCAGCAAGGTGTTGGAGGGGTGAGGTGGCATGTGTGTCTGTCTCTCTCAGCTGAAAACACTAAGTCAACGGGACTTAGGAAAGCACAGCAGCCTATACATACATTTGAGCTGAGGCATTCGGGTCTATCTATAGGACACATTCAACCACCTCTGACAATCTGATTGCAAAATGGTCATCTCAAAACCAAGCTGAAGACTTGGTCGAGGCACAATACAAAATTCATACTTACTGCAATTATAGCTCAGTGCACTGAGGCCAGCAAGTTTTGCCTATTAGTATACGCAGGGGGTGGAACTCGCACCTCAAGACCATACCACCTTCTCTGGCTATCATTATGTGGTGTCACCTTGGCCCTCAGTTCCTTCGCACAGAGCACCTATCGACTGATGCAGAGAAGATGGAGGGTCGGTCATGGAATACATGTCTCCTAGCAGTGGGAAGCCCACGTTGGTGCTCCAGCCGCCCCCTCCCCCCACCGTGGGGAGCATACAAAATGTACTAGGCTGGGGCCTCCAGAATGGTGTGTGAGGGAAATGTGGGGAGTGTCTTTTTCCTTCTCAGTTGGGAGCCACAGTGAGGGGGGTGCTTTTTGCTTCCCACTTGTGTGGGGTCCTCCAGCTGATTTTTCTGAGTCAGTGGCCCTCGACCCAAAAAAGGTTCCCCTCCTCTGGTCTACAATGACAGCATGATGGGCAGAGATGTGCTAATGAAACGACGAGGTGCAGGGCGATGGGCGGTATCCAAGTAGCGTCAGAGGGCGGTCACCTGACGACGTCAGAAATGACTAACTTTTTTGTACCTGTATATAAAGTGGGGTCTTGGGGGACAGCCCAGTCTTTGTCCAGCTGGGGGGCAGTGGGATCTCCCACTGATCGTGCTGAGTCCGTTTTTATGAATTACATACGCACAGTGGTTCAATGGAGCACTAACAGCCATGACTGCACTTCGCTCAATAATAAACCTGCCCGTGCACCTTCGATCCTTATCTGATTTGGGGGCTCTCTCAGGGTCTGCGGTGGGGACTAACTGGGCAAGTTGACATGGCACACATGGTTGAGCACACAGGCAAGCAGCCCTCTGGTTATCATCACAGACGGAGCCAGACTTGTCAGGACATCATGACAGTAAATCTTGCCCTATTACATCAGTGACCGTACTACACCATGCCACTACATGCACAGTTCCAGGTGTAGGTCAGGTGACTGGAGTCAGCCCTGAGAGCGCAATCAACCAGTCCCCGGGAGATGACTTATGCAAAGCCGGGGAGGAATGGTGGAAATGGCACAGCTGGCATGGAGTAGGTCTCCATTGTCTCCAGTGCTGGGAATGCGACGAGGAGTCCTGTGGCACCTTATAGACTAATAATAGAAAGCTTATGCTCCTACACTTCAGTTAGTCTATAAGGTGCCACAGGACTCCTCGTCGCTTTTGCAGATTCAGACTAACACGGCTACCCCTCTGATACTTGAGTGCTGGGAATGGCACCCGTACCAAAGTCAGCAGCGGTACAGAGGCGGAGGGCATGAAGTGCCACCACAGCAATATTGGGTGCTCAAAACGCATTGTGCTAAAGAGTTTTCTGGTACCAGTGCAGACCATTGTGCTGAGCCTGGCACCAGATTCACTTCCACAAGAACATCAGGAGGTGGCACCAACA